AGTAATGTTTAATTGTTTTGGTCCAGTTATGAAATCCAATGACATATACTGCTACAACACCCTAAGGAACCTAAAATTTCAAAAACTGTTATTTCGAGGTAGTGACTCAACTTATTGGCTACTCCGGACTTGTAAAAATATGTGAAATAGTTAACTTTAGTTATTTAAATTTTTAATTAATTTATTATTAATTTAAATTGTTATTTAATCAATCAAAAACAAAGCAATTTATTCAGTCTACACAGTATATAGCAAAAACAAGTCAATTTAAGATATAGATATAAGGTAATGTCAAAAAAAATTGAAGTACAAAACTAAACGTTAAAATGAAAATCTAAAAGTACAACCAGTGAAAACCACAACAACCCAAGATCAAAATCAAAAGTTAAAGGAGATATATATATATATATATTTTTTTAAAGGCAGAAGTGGAAAAGAAGCCACACGTTGGGTCTAGCCAATTGAAACGAATAAAATGTGTGAATTGACAAAGTTCAGAAGAACTGAAAGAGAAGTGATGGAAAAAAAAATACTAAAAATAGGGCTAAGCTCAGAGGAACAAATTTAAATGGCCAAAGAGACACTAAATCTCAAGTGAGTGTTCGGGCTAGCTTCAATGCACTGGATTGTGGCTTTAAAGATTTAAACAGATAGCAAGGATACTGAGCTAATGAGACAAGAAACGAAATGAGACCTGGTAATATCAAACGTGATACAACTAAAGAAGGTCACTGGGAATAAATTTATAGAAAGAGAACAATAAGAAGAGAAAAGAAGGGCGCCAACTCAACGATAGTTGAGATTTTGAAGTAACAAATGAATCTGGAGGTAATACTCTGAAATACAAAAATACTAAATATTAATCTTGTTCTGCTATGTTATATACTGGTTAGTAGAACTGAAATAAAACTCAAAATAGCAACAATAAATATATTTATAAACAAATGTATATAGGTATATGTGTATAAACAATTTACATATAATGCAAAGCCAAATAACAGTGGTAGTGGATGGTGTACAGATACAATAGGACCTAATAGCGCCTCAACAAATGAATAGTCACTACCACTGGCCAAATAAAATATGAAATATTAGTATACAACAAGAATAGTCCGTAGGGTAGCCAAAGTCTTAAAACAAAAAGGTAGTCATTTAAATTTAAATTAGTTCTACTAAAATGAGGTACTAATGACAATATTGTAAAGATATCAAACTTGATAAATCTCTATTACAATTATATTAAATATATATATTACATCCAAAAAATGAGTTGTTCCATACTCATTATATAATATTTAAAAACAAACCACATTAAATTTATGTCCCTCTTAATATCAAATTGTATTATATTAACAAAAATATTATATCCAAAAAAAAGTGAGTTTGGTCAGACTCTCTAAATCCTAGTTAAAACCTAATAACACATGAAGTGTCCCTTTTTCCTCCCGAATATTTTATAATTAAATTATCAAAAAAAAATTATCATAAAGGTATTCACCTTATCATATGCATATGATCAGTTAACAGTAAATATAAAGTAATACGTAATACAAAAGGTCAAATAGTTAAACGACTTATTTTTACAGCACTATAAGTCCATAGGAAAAACTCCTCTTGGCACGGCTACATCAGTTTGTGGCTGTAAAGACGAATCCTGGTCACAAAAGCCACAACCAGTCACTGGTCTCTGGGTGACAGCAAAATCCACGGGTTTGCTAACTATGTATCTAAGGATTCTGTTACTAGTATCCTTGAGGGAATATTCTCAAGAGAATATCCTCAAGTAAAGTGAAATTAATATTTTCACGTGACGGAATCTAAAATGATTATTTAATTTAATAAATATGTAATTTAATAAGTGTAGCAGCATGGATTGACTGCACCAAAACAAAACATCAAAACAGGTTAAGTTAACATGTCAGAACTTCCGAATTTACTTCGTAGACATGAAAGGCTTGCGCCATCAAAAGAACATGCGCAGAATATAGAAGGCTGTCCAATATTTGTCGAACCTTTTATATTCCACCAAAAAAAAAGGTTAGATAAAAAAGGGAACCAAAAAAACTTAATGATAAGATATGGACTAGATCGGACTTTAGTTTGACTATATAAAAAAATGACCTTATGTTCTTTGTAAGTAAATCAAGGAAATTTTATATTTAAATTATTTCGGAACTCAAAAATAAATCTCTAAAGAAATACTAAATACAATGATAAATTTGATTATATGATAAAGAGATAATACGTATAAAATGATTTACTTACATGGAGCTCGCAGCACGCCAACTCTTCCTTTTTATATGGAACTCATAAATGAATATTGATATTAAAAAATTTTACTTATTAATATTATTATTAATGAATTATATTCTTCTCCAAATTATTTTTCTGTTCCAATTCCGTCACTTTGAAGGTGAAGAATTTCACCGGCTGGCGTGGCTGCGTATCAGTTCTGACCAAAACTAACCGCTTCGCTTCCGCACAAAATCGATCTTCCTTTCAAAGCGACTACAGCGCGTGTGGTGAAGGAATGTCGATTTAAAATCGATCGTAGGCGGGTAATAAAAATTTCTTGAGGGGTTTAAAATGGACTAGTCAGTAGCGTAAACGCTACATTGTGAAGAATATATAAAATAATACCAGTACAAGTATACATGTAGAATAACCCAAAACAAACGAAGGAAGAATAGAAGTGTAGGTAGAGACTGATTGCTGAAGCAAGACAAAAAGTGTCTACCCTCGAATTAAACTGGGTGAATTGTCTAGGACATAGCCCAAAAAAAGAATAAAAAGAAGAAAAAGAAAAAGAAAATAATATAGGTTATGTAAAAAAATGTAAAAGGACCGTAATTACATGATTGGTATGAATAAAATATGTATATTGGCAGTAGTAGAGTAATAACTTCTTCTTTTCCTTCTCCCTTGTGGTATCCACGTCAAAATCTGTTTCGGAATCTGGCATTCTCTGTACATTTCCGTACCATATTAACTGTTTTTTTTATGTCATCAACTGTTGTATGCTTGACTCCCATCATTTGTTTCATTGCCAGCTTGTTCCTCTGCTTTGTAATCTCTTTAGTCATTTTCTATTTTGTTCATAAGTTTCTTATACATCCTACTTATTGTGCTGTTTACCGCAATTCCTCTGTAATTTTCGCACTCATCCTTGCTGCCTTTTTGTGGATAGTTGACATGATAGATAATTTTCATTCTTTTAGTAATTTGGTCCCATTCAAGCAGTCTTGAAAGAGTTTTTTTAACTGTTCCTGGAGTTTGTCTGTACCGACTTTCACTAATTCTGCAGGAATGTCATCAAAACCAGGGGATTTTTCATTTTTCAGGGATTTGGTAATTTCTTCCATCTCTGATTTACTTATTTGTAATGGTGATTTTTAACTTTTTTAGTGTGTAAATAAAGAACAAATGTTTATTTGACAATAGAGTAATTTCCAATAATAGAATTAAAAATTTGCACATTTGAATCATTTTTAATTTTCTTGATGATATCTAGAACGATATCCGAATATATATCACATATTTGCTATAGGAGAGCGATATAATTTATTAAATGTATTCAAACTTACATCCCCCGATTCTGCTCGCGAGAATTATTATATATCAAAGCGTCTTAGCTATGTGTGTAAGTGAAAATATATTACCTCTACGTTTCCGAATCGTTGACAATTCATCGCGGAAAATTTTGAAATAACACCCTGAAAATAGTGGTTGAAGATATTAAATTACAGTCTGTGTAGCCGGAGGATAATATATTGTACATATCCTATTTCGCAAGGAACATTTGAATGTTCCGTGAAAGTAGATCTCGCATTGTAAGAGGATCATAATTTCTTGATATTATTGTAAAAACGCAGACATGTATTAAAGGCTGGCATACGCGAGATCGTATTTGAAGGTAATGGAATTTTAGCCTTAAAGGGTTTTGTAAAGTATGTAGCTATTTTCAAGGTTTACGGCATGGTGGCGAGACGTGGTTACATCATTGTGATTTAACAAGTTACAACGGGATATCCTGAACAGAACAGTTGATTTATTGGACGCAAAAATCAATTTTGTATCCAGTAAAAACTTAATAAACACGAAATTTTATATATTATAGGCGACTTCAATGCAAAAATTTAGAAAGGTCAACGAGGTCATACTGCAGGTCCTTATAGTCTAGGACAACCTAAAGAGCGGGACAGAGATTGTATGAATTTAAAAAAAAACGATATGAGTATTGCAAACATTTGGTATAAACTACCCAAGCGACGACTATATACTTGGAAAGCCCCATTTGATGATGGCAATAACCCTGAGTCCTCAAAAAAGTCACTTTATTTCCTGAGGCAGATATTGGATCTGATCATCAACCACTTGATATAGAACTAGCATATTGTTCTGAAGCTATTTTCTTGTGGCATTGTAAATTAATTACTATTAAACTGGGAATAAACCACAATTAAAGATAAAAATACGTTTATTGACGTTTCAATTTCCACCTCGGAAATCGTTCTCAAAATACAACCAGTAAATTAAACAAATTTTGTTTTTTGTTACATAGTGAAAAATTCTTCTAATAATTTAATTTTATCTGACTCATTTATATTGACAATTCAGACATACATTATGCATTTTAAAGTAGACGACTTTAAAATGATATTGCCAATATTGTTGAGTTGCGCTCCTGGGACGACTTTACTTATAAGATAGTTCATTCGATTACATGAAATCAACTTTAACTTGAGAATATCCGTCAGAAAAAAATCATAGCATGTAATTCGTCTTTAAAAAGACAAGCACATGACATGATGACAGTAAAATTCTCCTGTTAGTGATTCCATAGTAAATTATGAGGGAAAAACCAGGAAAAAAAACCTCATAATACTATCCCGACATTGTAAGTATTTGTTCGTGAATTTAGTTTACCTTCAACAAACATCAAAATTCTGATTTTATATGTTACGTTATTTAAAAAACATAAATGATGTATCCTCTATATGTTACTGACTTACTAATACTGGTATTTTCTTATTAATAACTTCCTCTTTCAATATTGGTACCCAGATCCTACTACATACTGCCGAGGAATTTGCGACACAATTGGCCTCATTTAGCATAATTAGAGCCGCTTCTTTGATTTTTTTTTTACCATCCGTTTCTTATAGGACTACATTTGAATTATTCCATTGAACCCTATGTTCATTATCCTATGCGTGTTTACAGATTTGAGATCTATCAAGAGAATTTGCGAAGAGTAACGATTCTAAAACAGTAACTTTCTGACAAATTTTGATTTTCTTGTTGTTGGTGGTTCATTTCAAAGAAAAAAACACTTAATAAACTTGAAAAACCTCTTTAAACGTTCAGCACAACGTAATCCAACCCAACTTAATTCAAAATAAAATGAAGCACAATTAGCATGTTTTTAATTTTTTTGCAAAAATGGTAAAAATATCAGCGTTTTTTACCGTTCTTTCGATATATTTTACAATATACCGGGGGTAACAATAATATATGAGCACAAAAATCAAAACATTAAAATTATTTGATTTACCAGAGTTTTTAAAATTATGCATTAATTTTGGGGTGTACTGTATTATTTTCGTAAAAAAAATGGTTTCTCAAAATGTATATGCTTTTTGTATAATAAAAAGCTTTTTTAAGCGCTTTTTTGAGTTTCTTTATGCTTTAAAATCCGAACTCTAGTCATGATCATCATTATCACCATTCAATCACTTCGGAGTGTCGAAGTATGCTTTATGCTTTTGTGTATGATTTTATTTTGAGTTCATTTTTCTCCCTGTTCTGGTTACAATTACCAAGTAAAAAATACAGCCCTCTAGAAGTGACTTCTCTACCGAACTAATATTTGTATATTTTAGATCCAAAACCGTTTTTATTGCACGCCAATATCGACATTGTCATAAACAATGTTATTTTATATACATCCCTAAGTTACTCTGCGATCGTTTCGATGTGAGAGTGCCCATCCACATCCACACGGGACGACGGTAAAGCATTGCATGGATCGATGACGGACACGTAGAGGCGCTTGAATCGTATTGAAGGACCTCTTCACCGGGCTCTTAACCCAGCGGTAGTATACAAATCTTGAATAACAAGATCTGACAACTTTTCAATTCCACTTTTTGCAGACTAATTAAAAGTAGGAGAGGCACAGTCGTTTAAATGTTACTATCTAAAATATGATATTATACAAAACCATTTTTAATAAAAAACGAGAATTATACTAAAACTAGCGGACCCGACAGACTTTGTTCTGTCAAATAGATTTGGAATGTGGCAGTTTATTTCTTTAATTCTCCTGGACAGAACCGTCACCATGAGGATAGGGCGGCGTGTGAGGGTCAGCTTGGGTGACCTAAGTATCTTCGCTTGCACGAACTTTGGCCACCCTTTTGGACCCACTAGATTAGATTAAGAGAGGTGGCCTTTCGGCCTATTCCACTGCGACCTTTTCAGATCTATTGTGGCCCTCTAGTCCTAGACAACATTCTCTAGCCTCACCCTCTTTATAAAGTCTAGTAGCTTCGAGACTGTACCTTCCATGTAGCTGTTTGCCGGTGGATTTTCTTCTCCTAATGCAAAAAACCGCACATTTGCCAGACTGTCACATTGACATAAAATGTGCTCTGTCGTTTCTTCTTCGAGGTGAGAATCTGCACAGGTCATCATCTGATAATCCCATCAGCTTCAAGTGCCTATTCAGCTTACAGTGCCCTGTTAGAAGACCTACTATGGCTTTGACTGTTTTCCTATCTTTGCTAATTAGGTTTGGACCCACTAATAACACCGACTGGGATGTCTGCCAGAGGGCTTCAAACTAAGAGTGGAACTTAATAAAAATAATGAAATAAAACGTATATAAGTACTTTCAGTATTTGCTTTATTGTAAATCAAGTGAATTATGATTATTAACAAAAATCTGTTTTATCTTAATTGTAGTGCTTTATGATATACAATGTTTTTTTTGTTTGATTACCTGGTAAATATACAAACAAATCTGATCGTTTTCCAATACGGGAACAGTTAACATACAATTGCCTATGTGAGAAACATAGGTTTTCTAAATTAATACCTCCTTCTTCTTAACGTGCCCTATCAAGTCCCCTTGACGTTGGCGATTAACATGGCGAAACTGTCTCTGTCTCGAGCTATTCTAAATAGTTGCTCAGCTTTCTTTATTCCTCTCCACTCCCTGATATTCTTCAACCAAGAGGCCTGCTTTCTACCAATTCCTCTGCGTCCTTCGATTTTACCCATCATAATAAGTTGAAGAATATTATATCGGTCTCCCCTTACTACGTGTCCAAAATAGGCCATCTTTCTACATTTGATGTTATCAAGCAGCTCGCGAGCAGCATTTGTTCTCTCAAGGACTGCCACATTTGTCAGCATAGCCGTCCATGGAATTTTAAGTATACGTCTGTGCAGCCACATCTCAAATGACTTCAGACGATTAATGGTGGATATTTATAATGTCCATGCTTCGACACCGTATAAGAGGACTGACCAAATGTAGCATTTAACCATGCGCTTTCGAAGTTGAAGTTGCAAGTTATCATTACAGAAGAAAAACCTCATTTTTAAAAATGTCGTGCGGGCTATCTCGATTCTACATTTTATCTCTTGATCTGGATCTAGTTGTTCAGTAATAAGGCAACCAAGATATTTAACACTGGACACTCTTTGAATTATATGACCATCAACATATAATCGTGCATCTTGATGTGCTAAACGGCTAAACACCATGTGTTTTTTTTTGAACAGTTTATGTTTAGGCCAAACTCTCTTTCCACTGTATCAATGGCATTTAAAATACATTGTAATCCGTTCATGTCATCACTTAAAATAACTGTATCGTCTGCATATCTGATTGTATTTATCAGAATTCCATTAACTTTCACGCCCCATTCCAAATTATGCAGCGCTTCTTTAAATATTCTATCTGAATATAAATTAAATAACAGTGGGGATAGTATACAACCCTGTCTGACACCTCTTTATATTTTACGTATTTCTGTTGATTTTCCGTTTATGCAAGCTGTCGCTGTTTGATGCCAGTATAACTTTTCTATGAATCGTATGTCTTGACTATCAACTCCTTTATCTTTTAATAATGTAATTAATTTGTGATGCTGTACTCGATCAAAGGCCTTTTCATAGTCAGTAAATACAGCAAAGACGTCTTTCCTTTGATCTCGACATTTCTGCAGTAATACATTTAGTGCAAAGAGGGCGTCCCGAGTTCCCAGTCCATTTCTGAAGTCAAATTGTGTTTTATCCTGATCTTCTTCACATTTATCTCTGATTCAACTGTGGATGATGCGTAGAAATATTTTCAAAGTGTGACTCATAAGGCTATCATTCTATAATCGCTACAGTTTTTCGGACGTTGTTTTTTTTGGTAGTGTTATGAATTCGGACTTTAACCAATCTTCAGGGATATCACCAGTCGAATAAACATCATTGAAAAGTTTGACCAGTATTCCAATGTTCTCCTCATTTATAAGCTTTAACACATCTGTCGGTATGTTATCAGGGCCAACGGCTTTCTTGTTCTTTGCTAACTTTATAGCATGCAGTATTTCTGATTTTAGTATTTCTGGTCCTTCACCTTCAACTAAAGTCTCCGGTTCTTCGGGTCTATCATCATTATACAGTTCACTTATATAATTACACCAGGTTGTTTGAATTTCATGTTCGTCTATTATCATTTTTTCCGACGAATCGGTTATAGTATGTGGAGTTTTCTTATGATAAAGACCAGCTACTTCTCTAACTTTTTTAAACATATTAAACGTATCATGTTTTTCATTCAACTTTTCCAATTCCTTGCATTTATCCTCCATCCATTTTTCTTTAGTCACCTTCATTTTTTGTTTAATTAGTTTCTGTTTTTCCTTATATTCTGTCTTGTTACCTTTCAGTTTTCTTCTCTGCTCCATTAATTCCAGGATTTCATCAGTCATCCATGGTTGTTTTTTGTACCTGTGTAACGTTGTTGAATATTTTTCTATTACTTTCAAGGTAAGATGTTTAAATGTGTTCCATATTTATAAAAATTAATAGCACAAACACCTAATGATTCGCCCTGGGACCTATTTATGGTCATAGCAAAAGCAAGCCGCACTAGAAATTGTAGTCGTTTAAATTCAAATGGTATGTCAGTCGGAATCATTGTGATGAGTGGTATCAAAACGTCTTGTACTTTATACTTTACTTTCAGTATAGTTGCTTCTACCACATTGTTCAATAATTTTTTATCGCTAACCGTGTGTAGTTGCAAAGACGCGATTAGTTGATATTTCTCAACATTATAACTACCGATCCAACCTTTAATTGAAGATTGTAAGGTGGCAATCATGGTAACTCCAGAGAGTTTAAAATTTCAGGCGTATATTTTGACGACATCATCTTGGTTAGTGACCGAATCAACTGATTTATATATCCTCAATTTGCTTGTAATTTGTTCTTGAATTTTGAAATTTAATTCATTTACATATATTATTATGGTTTTTCCAGGCAAAATAGCTAGTTCGCTCAACCAATCATGGTTTCTGTAATTTTGAGCAATATCTGGAAACACCTTTTGAATAAGTTCATCTTCTGATCGAGTTAACTGACAAAAACTTTGAGGAAAGTTAATGCAACCAGTCAAGGTGTCTATAGGAAATTTGCCATTACTACTGGCAATGAGTTATTTGTAGAATATGTCTCCAGATTGGTCATTTTGCAACTCGATACGCATATTCTTGCTTAAGAGTAATACCTTGACATGTTTCCACAAATTGGAGGACTTTAAACATGCATTGAGTTGGCGTTGATCGTGGAATCACTGGCAATGTTTGACGAAAATCTCCTGCTAATAAAATCATTACACCATCTAATGAGTTGTAATTGCTCCATAGATTTTGTAAGGTTCTATCTAAAGCCTCTAAAGATTTTTTATGTGCCATCGTGCATTCATCCCAAACAATCAATCCACATTACTGCAAAACCTTTGCAACTACTCAGTTCTTTGAAATGTTGCAGGTTGGAGTTTCGTTACTTTGCATGTTTATTCAATTATTTTTTCAAGGCAATTTCAGTACTGAATGGGCTTTTTGACCACCTTCAAGCAAAGTTGCTGCGATTCCCGACGAAGCAAGTGCAAGTGCAATATTATTTTGTGAGCGAATTGTTGCGAATTACAATGAAATCAAAAAAGTTTTTCCTGTGCCACCAGGTGCATCTAAGAAGTAAATCCCTCCTGTTTTATTAATTGTTTGTTTTATAAGTGTATCAGATACATACTTCTGTTGTTCATTTAATAGTGGAATATTTGTTTAAATTAATTCTTTCAAAGTGTTGAGATCATATTGTTTTTCTCGATGCAACTCTTGGTTAAAAGCATCATGCATTGGACGATTGGGCGAAATTATAGTTTGTTTGACATCATCAAGTACATGTCCTCAATAGAAATCAATGCTTCATTGTAAATTTCTTCGTTTATTTGTATACTTATTTGGATTTCCCCTTCTAATCTGTATTTGATATAAGATATCATTACACATAGGTATTATCTTTGTACTTGATTTACAAATCATTTGAGTTTTATGGCAAGCATATAGATATAATTATAGAAAACAATGTTCGTATTTGATAAGCTTGTGATGATATTACAGCTTCATTGAGAGTTTAATTCCAATGAGCGTCATTTTCTAGCAATTTCAAACGTTGGCAGGCTTCTCTGTATAGTCCACACAAATCACCATCAACAGTTCGTAAATGTTGGAATGATGTTGGACCACGTACATTGACTAATAGCAGTCGTAAATAAAAACATTCATCATTGTTTGAATGTACTGAATAAATTCGACCAATCGCATTGGTAGAATATACATCTGGGTATCCTGGAACTGGTTTTCCTTGTTTCCGTCGTATAAATCTCCTTGCGGATTGATTCCAAGTATAATATTTTGGCATTTCAGAACATAACAATGTTTGATCAAGAGGATCGTTGTGGTATATCTTAATAAAACTGGTTAATGTAGTAGATGGTGGTTGAGCAGCTCTTTATACTGCGTTTTATGCTGTAAAATATACTCTTTTTCCATTTTCTAATTGTACACCTAAATGAACAAGAGTAGGGTGTTTCTCATGAATGGAACAAGAAAATATTCGCGAAACTGCTTCATTACTATTGACATAGTGACCCATTTGGTATTGGATAATTTAATTAAATTATTTATTAAAGATAATAAACGCTTTTTAATGAGGTTTGTTTGACAGATGCAACGAAGTGAAAACTGATGCAATTTATGACGCGTTCCGAAACTAAAACAAAAAACAAAGAATATTGCGAGGCCAATCAAATCCTTTATATAGCCCTTACATTTTTTGACTTGTAAATGTGGTCGGGTTCACGATATTATCACTTTTGTGTGAACGCATTAGATCCTCCAACGCGAACACGCACACACACGAACGCGCACAGACATACATTTGATTGAATTTGAACTTTGTGCAGCGACAATAAAGCGCAAATTGACTCTTCAACGTTAGGAACACACCTACATTGTTTAGACAACAGTTTATTTATTTATGGAAAAAAGATCATTGCAGATCTATTTCTAAGTAATATCTGTATTAATGTTTTTTGGGAAATTTCAATGTTTTACCCATATACGGAGTCTAAAAATAAAGTTGTTTGCAACCTCCTGTGAAATGTATTAAAAGGAACACACCTGCATTGTTTAGACAATAGACAATAGTGAGTGCTTGTAATTTAATATAAACTTTATTGAATAGCAACAAAGTTCAAATTGACTCTAAATTTAATTAGAAAATATTTGTATGGGAAAAAGAAAAGGGCTGTTTGAGCTCAATAATTGCCGGAAATTATTCGAATTTTTCTCGCCCTAAAAACTATCCTTAGACTTCAAGGAAAATTTTAAAAAATAATTATTAAGAGTGTTCCATGCGTTGTTGAGTTATGTGTTTACCAACACATTTTGCGATTCATTTTTACCTTATAGATTATATATTTATTTTGTAAAACATTACTTGATTATTTGTGGTTATCTATATTGGGATGTTTTGTATCTACAAACGAAAAACTGTTAGCCTCCTCGTATCTTGATAAATTTCTTTGTTGTTTGCGTTGCTTTCTAATTCAATCCTGAAAAATGGGGGTGGTTTCTTAAACTGCTCGGTCTTATATTGGAGATATTTATCTCTTTGCGTCTTGGTACTTCTACAGCCTTTTTGTGTCATTTGCGTTTATTTTTGTTCGAGGATCAATGCTAACATGGAATGTTACTGTTTAGAGTAAATGCGAACGTTTTCCGATAAGAGCTGATTTGTAAAAACATGCAAAAAGTAGTTTTATCTTGGTAGCAAAGGGAAATGAACTAAAAATACAATGTGCTTTTTTGTAGTAGCTGTAATTACTATCTAACCATTGTTTTAGATGCTATATAGGTAAAATCACAAAAGTTATGCAAATTTATCGAATTTATTTCGTATGTTTTTATTTATTAACAGTTTAAGTGAAAATTTACTGAAAGTTTATAATTTTTGTTTGTAAGTAAACAACATTATGTTTTATTAACAAACTGAAGAAAGAATAAAATGTAAAAACTGAATAAAATTCGTATAGAAGCATTTTTTTAAGATCTAAATAAATAAAGAAATAAATATCTCTTGTTGTTATTATATAGTAGGTTCTTTCAGGAGAACCTGTAACTCCTAGAGAGCGCGTCCCCAGGAGACGGATAGGGGAATACCCGACCCGGTTTACCGATGGGTAGAAAGGAAATAAAAAACCTAGCGTAGACCAACAGGTAATTTATCGAATGATTGTCGGTATAAACAATCATCCAGTTGCTGACCAACGGCTTCAGGCGTACGAGTTGGTAGGTGGTAGGGCACTCTTTTGTCCTGGGACAGAGAAACCGGCCTCAAAGGCGGACGAATCAGTGGTTTGGTCAACGGCATAAAAATATAGAAGGCAACAAGAAACCATTATATTAAAAATCCCTATCGGTATCTCTATTTAAATCAACAGAGTAGTAATAGTAGTTAGAAATGATATTTGTTTCAAAATTTTCCATAAATTTAAAGAAAAATCTAAACAAAATTTAAAACCCACAGTATGGTGGAGGTATGTAGATGATGTATTCTCAATATGGCCTCATGGATTAGAGTTGTTGGACACATTCCTAAATGATATAAACGATAAAGAAGAGACAATAACATTTACCATGGAAAAGGAATATAATAACACGCTACCTTTCCTGGATGTTTTAATCTCTAAGAACGATACTGGATATGAGACTCAGGTGTACAGAAAACCAACACACACCAATAGATATTTAAATTTCAAATCAAATCACAATATTAATGTAAAAAAGGGAATAATTAAATCCTTATACGATAGAGCCAAAATTACTTGTTCTAACGAAAATTCGTTCTTGGAGGAGAAACATTTGTTAACATCTGTTTTATCAAAAATGATTATCATTTACCGTTAATAAATAAGGAATTTTCAAAAATCGATCGAATAGAACAGAACAACTTAGAACAAGATCCTACAGCATACACAAGGAATAATAAGAGGAAAATAACAATACCGTACATAAAAGGATTATCAGAAAAACTTAAAAGGATAGGAAATAAATTCAACATTTCAACAACATTCAAAAAAACAAACACTTTGAGATCTATTTTGTCCAAAACCAAACCTAACAATGAACAAGAAAGGACAAAGAATTGCATTTATAAAATACCTTGTGAATGCGATCAGTTTTATTTAGGTGAGACATCAAGGCCATTAAATGTTAGAATAAGTGAACATCAATCTTATCTTAAAAATAGAGAATTTGATAGATCTCAAATATGTAAACACGCATGGGATAATGAACATAGGGTTCAATGGAATAATTCAAATGTAGTCCTAAAAGAAACGGATGGTAAAAAAAGAAAAATCAAAGAAGCGGCTCTAATTATGCTAAATGAGGCTAATTGTGTCGCAAATTCCTCATCAGAATATAGTAGGATATGGTTACTAATATTGAAAGAGGAAGTTATTAATAAGAAAATACCAGTATGAGTAAGTCAGTAACATATAGGGGATACATCATTTATGTTTTTTAAATAACGAATCATTTAAAATCAGAATTTTGGTGTTTATTGAAAGTAAACTAAATGCACGAACAAATACTTACCATGTCGGATATTATTATGAGGATTTTTTCCTGGTTTTTCCCTCATAATTTACTATGGAATCACTAACAGGAGTATTTTACTGTCATCATGTCATGTGTTTGTCTTTTTAAAGACGAATTACATGCTTGTTTAATCGAATGAACTATCTTATAAGTAAAGTCGTCCCAGGAGCCCAACTCAACAATATTGGCAATATCATTTTAAAGTCGTCTACTTTAAAATGCATAATGTATGTCTGAATTGTCAATATAAATGAGTCAGATAAAATTAAATTATTAGAAGAATTTTTCACTATGTAACAAAAAACAAAATTTGTTTAATTTACTATTTGTATTTTGAGAACGATTTCCGAAGTGGAAATTGAAACGTCAATAAACGTATTTTTATCTTTAATTGTGG